GCTTTTGTCAGTTTTTCAATGTTTTTTATTGATGATCACTTTGTTGGTGCAACTAAATTAATTAATAAATTAAAACCAAGTAGTGCCAGCCCTAGCAAATTTTTCATTTCGTCCCAATTAACCACATGTTCCGGGTAAATAGGGATTACACCTATTTTTGCTTTTTTTGCTTAAACTGGAATGCTAGTTGCATAGTTTTAAATTGGACAACAAAGATGCCCCCGAGACTCAATCATTTTGATCCTGATATCATTCAGCATTATATACATCAACAACTACCTTAAAATTGGTCATAAAGTTGGAGTTTGTCCCTAATCGCCCCATTTTACCGGTACTTAATTTTAATGTTTGTTGCCTTTTTGGCGGTAATGCGAGGAGTGAAGTTGTGCAATTTGTTTTTTGTCTGTTTAGTGGTTTAAATGTGTAATAAAGATGGTTTATTAACTATTTAGTATCTGTGAAAGTGCACAAATGTGGGAAAATAAAACAAAGTCGCTGGACGTAACTTCTCGAGATCCTACAAAAAGTCTCAGTAAATGACCACCATTTTACTGAGATTATATTTCATCCCATATCATCTCATTTCATTTCACTACATACTGTCATTTTTCATAAAAATAAGAATATAAATTAAAATATGACTAAAGGTCTTAGTTACCAGGTGATAAAATCCCTTGAAAAATACCTAATATTTGTTGATGGCTAATAATTTGTTTGGCTTGTACCATAGATTATACACTTATTGTAAGCTTGTACCGTACAAGTTGTACCGTAGGTACCTACCTTTTATTAATTTAAGTAGGGTACTATTTAATGTACCTACAATGTACGATGTACGGTAAACTATAATTAAGTTTAGTTTAATATAAGTAGAAAGTCACAACTCTTTATAAAACTTATGAAGTTTATTTAAACCATGCAAAACATATCAATAAATAACGCCATTTTATCTGAAAAACTTACGCTTAGACCAAACTCGAATTGTTGCGTTAATTTTGATTATGAAAAAGTGAAAATCCAGTACATGTATTTTATCTCACAGAAAATTGTTAAGGAGATCAAAGGGAAACCCCCTCTATACTCTACCGAGTCGTTAAACCTATTTATTGAACGACTTAAAAATAAGGAAATAACGTCAGATAAATACGAATTGCGAAATGAGAATTGCCAAACAATTTTGTTTCACAAACGCAGCAGGAGAGTAAAAATAGTGTTATCTGCTGAACAATGTTTTGATGTCATTGTACAAGCACATATTCAAACTGACCATGGTGACGTTCGTGCCATAAAAATGAAAACAAGAAAGTATTCCGTCCCTTTACTCAGCATTAGAACATTAATAAAGAGCTGTAATGTGTGCACTCAAGACGAGACATCCCTGTACTCCGAAAAACAAAATGACAATATTTGGACAATTTCAATCTTTAATGTGCAGTTATATAATAATGAGTTTCCATTTCTACTATTTTATGTGGAAACTAATTCGAATTACATCTTGATCAGACCACTCAAGACGAACAAGGAAGATGAAATATCTTTGGAACTTTTCAAGATATTTATGACATTCGGACCACCTGTCACTATTTTAGTTTCTAAAAAATTAGAAAAGATCATTACAAAAGTACAAACTATAATAAGCAGTGTGCACCCAGATTGTATGTTTAAATTACAATTGTGCCAAATAAAGAATATGCTTCTTCCAAAGCTATTTCGTAAAGTAATGAAACAGAATACTATAAGTTACACAGCGATTGGATATCTTAAAGCTCAGTTCATTTTAAACAATATGTTGCATTCAAAGCCTCAAGACATATTCTTCAGAAAGACACTTGAACCTCACAGCATAGATACTAGATAGCATAAATTCACAATTATGTCACATATTCAGTTATGGTTGTTTTTTCATCACTGTTATAGTGCAAATGGTGCTCTCCTAGTATTAGCTAGCAAAACAGCTAGTTCTAATAAAGTTGAAAGCTCAATTCAGACTACAAACAGATATACAATCTTGTTGCTTTTTGCTTGTTTGGGCCACACCGTTTGACATCACTATTCTGTTTATGTCTACTGGTTTAATCAACAGATACATTGCTATGCTGGGAGACAAGGAGACCTATTTTTAATTGTTTTTGAGGACCAAAAAGCAAATGGAACACCTAGTGGTGATCACATTTGCTCATGGATATTTGTAAGGCTAGAAGCACTATCTGGGAGACTAAGTCAGAAATTATTTACTATTTTGATCTCAAGATGGAGCTGTGTTTCTGATATCAAATGAGTTATGAGCAAATTTAATTCAAATTTAAATCAACAATATAAAACAATGCCTGCCTACTATATTATATTGTAATTCAAGAGCATTTAAAAATAATTATATTGCATTATTATTTTAATAAGATTGTTTTATTGGGGTTTATTCCTTGAGAATCTATTTCCTTCAAACTCTTGTTACATTGGTTTTATGGGTAACATTGAACGATGACAGCCCTTTAAGCACTATTGAAATAAGTGCTATTTTTATTGTAACATGTATTATTTGTCAACACGTTGGGAATATTAAAAAAAAATCCCCGCTGCAGTGGTGTACACATTAGGTTCAATAATGGTTCCAACAGTATTCACTGTTTAGAAAACATTATACAATGATTCCCGATTATAATTTAGGAAACGAATTGCTCGGGTATAACAGTGATCTTTTGAGCCAGTGCATATCTCCTTAAGATTAAATGCAGAATTTTAAGAATAAGTTACAAGTTGACAATTATCGATTGTATTTGTATTGTCTCATGCGAGTTCGTACCAGCTGACGTTAGTGGAGAAACATAGTCCCGCCTAATTCAGCCGCGAAAATGTGATTATTTTTGTTTCATGTTTGCAATACGATCGATTCTTTAATCTTGATCTTCGTTCTGAACGAGTCCACCAACGGCACTGTACTGTATCCCAGCGACTAAGGGATCCAACGATCACAGCCGGCAGGTGGTGCAGTCTGAGCTCCAAAAGTTTGTACAAACTGAGGAAGTAGCTGTCTGCTAAACGGTCTGGTTCACATCACACACAGTTATCGGAGATTTATAGGCCCCTATGAAGACTGACGGTGTGCGTGACATGTTTGCATATTAATTATTATTTTTAAATGTATTTACTATAGAGCTTCGATTATTAATTTAAAACCTATTAATATTAGGTACATTATAAAATGATCAATGTTTGTATTATAAATACTAAAAACGAGGCACTATTGTGTTCTATGTACAAGTATTTTACATTATCATATTTAAATATAAAAATGTTCATTCCTTAGTAAGGAATACCTTTTTTATTGCCCTTGTAGGCAGACGAGCATACGGCCCACCTGATGGTGAGTGGTTACCGTCGCTCATGGACTTCAGCAATGCCAGGGGCAGAGCTAAGCCGCTGCCTACCGCTTAACACTCTCCATCAGACATGTGTAAGTAATGCGAGTGATATTACTCCGGTAATATTACTCTACGATGTAATGCAACTTCACACATTACGCGAAGGAAACAAACATCACACTATCACCCACAGAACACTATTACTTCTAGCGAAGCTATCACCTAGACATGTGTAAGTAATGCGAGTGATATTACTCCGGTAATATTACTCTACGATGTAATGCAACATCACACATTACGCGAAGGAAACAAACATCACACTATCACCCAACATGTTTCTTTCTTTGTCGTGTAATGTTGCTTAATACACGAACGGAACCGAGCGAGCGAGACAGACCGATCGACGCAAAATAAATGAGCAAGCGACACGGAATTATTCCTAGTGATTTTGAACCGTATGCCCTGGCCGCTAGGTACATTTTTATACCTATGGTACGTCTGAATTTTAATATAGGTATTTGTGTTTATATTTTTCATGCGGCCAGCCGGTAGCTCCCCGCAAGTAGTTACTTAATTTTTTATTCGCAACTTTTGTAAAATCGCTAGTCGCTCGTAATTGTTTAGTAATATTTCATATTAATTTTTGTGTTTGAATTACTTAAGCACTTGTTTGAAGATAGTTTTATTATTTGTTTTAATGCGTGTTTAATAAGTGAAAGAAAGAATGGCGTCTAAATGAAAGTACAGTCCTCTTTGGATGCATTTTGAGGAGACCGCGCCGAAACAATGCGTCTACTGCTCTCGTATATTACAATTATCGTCGAGCTCAATTTGCAGTCTAAGTCGCCATATGAAATCCGTTCATCCCACAATAAATTATATTAAGTAAAAAATAAAATTATTATATTATTAAATAAGTCAATCTCTGTCAAGTAATATAACAGTTTATCAAGTATCACTAGATTAATGAATGTTCTTTTTTCCAGCCACTGCAGTAGAAATAGAATTTCATAGAAATACGTCGGAATATTAATAGTACTCTGAAGAAGTAATACCTTCAATTGGTTTAAAAAATATTCCATAATAATGTAGTTTTAAGCATCAACTTACTGTTGCCGAAAGTATACCCGGCATCCTGCCAACAAACGAGCCAGTTACGAGCCACACAATCACCACAGTTTAAAATGTCTTGTAAGTCGTCGTGGCCTAAAGGATAAGACGTCCGGTGCATTCGTATGTAGCGATGCACCGGTCTTCGAATCCCGCAGGCGGGTACCAATTTTTCTAATGAAATACGTACTTAACAAATGTTCACGACTGACTTCCACGGTGAAGGAATAACATCGTGTAATAAAAATCAAACCCACAAAATTTATAATTTGCGTAATTACTGGTGGTAGGACCTATGTGTCCGCACGGGTAAGTACCACCGCCCTGCCAATTTCTGCCGTGAAGCAGTAATGAGTTTCGGTTTGAATGGTGGGGCAGTCATTGTAACTATACTGAGACCTCAGAACTGATATCTCAAGGTGTGTGGCGCATTTACGTTGTAGATGTCTATGGGCTCCAGTAACCACTTAACACCAGGTGGCCTGTGAGCTCGTACACACATACAAGCAATAAAAAAAAAAATTAAAAGCTAATGAAATAATTAGTATACATATAATTTTGCAAAGATCAACACTTCTGTGATTAACTAATTAAATTATTAGGTCTGGTTCTGATGAAGTTAGTAATTGTTTTCGTATACTCAAAGCTTCTTTCTCCGCTTTTTCTTGTGGGCAGTGATACTTTCCTGGCCGCTATCTTCTTCTGAACTATCTGAAGAGCTAGTGTCACTATCACTGCTTGAAGAACTGCTGTTAGATGAACTGTCTGAAGCCACTCCAGTACTCTGGTTGACGTCAACACTGCTTGCTATCTTATATAAGTCAGGTTCTTTGGCTTCCAAGACCTTGAGCCATTTTTTGGAGAGCTTTGGTCGACCTCGGACGGACTTATGCCACACTACCGGGAAGTTGGTGCGACTGCAGAAGTTTTGGGTGATGGCTACTGTGTCATCTAAGTTCAAGACCACATGCCACCAGCCTCCAGGCACAAACACCGTATCCCCAGGTCTTTGAAGTATCTCCACCTGAATATAAAATGAAAAATAAGCCATTCAAATTATATAAAAGAAAATGTTTTAAGCAACATTTCATATCATTCACAAGCTATTCTAATTGACAAATAAACTCGATATCTGTATTGCATCGTCTTGCATGGATAAGTGTTCTTAAAAAGGCTGAATTAAATAATGAAAGAAAATGATTTATTACAATTGTTAAGCTCTCACAGTAAGCATCGGATTTGACATTTTTGTAATTTTAAGTTAACTTGACATGGAGCATTTTAAATTAAATTGACAGACTTTCCAGCCCGGAAGTTTCAGACAGAGCTTTTAGTAAGATAAGCAAAATGAAAATTATCCTGAGTGCACAACCTAATCATAAACTGGTCTTATTACTAAAGCCAGATGGTTTCAAAAGACAGACAATGAGAAAGATTTTTCCCTAGCATGGACTCTGAACTGGAGGATGATGCCCACTGAATACCCTTGCTCTTTAAGTTGCCACTAGCGATTAAATGAGGTGGGCCATTAACTGCACCAATGGGGAGTTATAGATATTTTTAGGGATTTTCTCATCCCTAATGTGTAAGCAGCCATCTAGATAAAAAAATCAACAAGGCTCCCTTAAAACCCCTCTGTAGCACAATGATAGATATTATTTGCTATAGCCAGATAGTCTAATGGACAAAATCCACAATGTACTCTGTGTATTGTATGTGGGATATACCCAGGAAATACTATGGTGTTTCTAGAGGCTAGCAGGGATGGCAGCAAGAGGGTGCTTGAGAATCACACCAATGGGGACTATAAGTTTAATACTTGAAAGTCATCTACTAATGTAGGTTGTCAGTGCTACATTCATATTACTCACTATTGAGTAAAAAGTAATATTGACCAATATTGATCCTAGTTGGCTAGCTGACTTCCTTTAGATAGCCTTTATCCGAAAAATATATTCATAATTTCAAGAAATAAAGCATCCAACCCAAGTATAGTTCACAGAACTAAGACCACTTGCTCATATTAAAGGTTTAAATAGTATATGGTTACACTGAATACAGAGGTTTACTTTTTTATTAATTTTGAACACTATGTGAGGAGAGGTTGGCATACAGCTACTAAAATAACAAAATACAGTTAATATCTAAAGAAAGTAGTCGAGAGCCAATTTATAGGCAAAAAATCTATGAACAATGGCAATCAAAAGTTGATGGCTGGCAATTGATAAAGTGTTAAAAACCCATAACTACTCTTTTTTTTTATTGCTTAGATGGGTGGACGAGCTCACAGCCCACCTGGTGTTAAGTGGTTACTGAAACCCATAGACATCCACAACGCAAGTTATAAAGGCTGCCCCACCCTTCAAACCTCCTACTACCATACATTACATACATAATTTAATTTGTTTTTTGAAAATTATAGTCTGATTATAACTGTGTAGTAACACTAACCGGTTGATACTCTTTCGGCCAAGTGTCCAACTGAGTCTTTGGATAAATTAATTTAAACCATGTTATAGCTTCGTCCCTTTGTTTTCCCCCCATAGCCCCTGTCACTTTAATCATTTCCCTTGGAGTCTGAGTTGGGAACAGGCACCATCTTTTATGTCCAAAAACTAAAGCATTCCAAGCACTAGTCCCTAAAGGATCAATATGAATCCCAGTCCCAGATCTTTGGGGACCCATGACAAACCAGCGATAAGGTGGTCTCCTCTCTTCACCACAATATTTAAACAAGTCATCCCTAAAATATAATGGAACATCATAGTCCTCTAGGAGTTTTTTTCTTCTTGGGTGCTCCCCAAAACTGCTATCAAAAATATACAGTGGACTATCATCAATGGTGGTTCTCATATATTCTACATAATACTTCATTTTCATCTTAACACTATAGCCATCATTGTCTTCACCACACTTGAATTTTTGATTCCGATATTTTTTAACAAGTCGGTCTAAAGTCCACTTGTAATTTGCTTTCCAGTTAGTTTGCACATCAGTTATGACTACAGGTTTATATATTTTCTCATATTTCTCAATGAATTCTTCAGGTGTGACTTGAATAGCACTAATTCGGTCAACATTGTCCTTGCACTGGAGGAACTCAGTAAAGTTGTTGTGGTATTTTAGTATGGTCCACTGATGTTTATCAACTAATTCTGAAATTGAAATTTAAACTGTAATTGTTTTGCCTTTATCAATGTATGAGCATAATTAAACAGATAACCATCATAGCAATCCTTGATGAAACATTATTCAAACATGGCAGTGTAATTTGTCTGCATCCTGTAGTACCATTAATAAGAATGTTGAATTTTTCCAGCGGACCTTTTTTTATTACCTATGTTTTAAGTGCATAGAAAGGATTTTACATGACTTATTACGATTCAATGTGTAAAAAGCAGTGCATATTAATTTCAGGGCCGTTGTTACAAACTTTCTAGAGATTGTTCTCGAATCCATGATTATAAACAAAAACAAAATAATAGGTGAAGCTTGGATTTGAAATATTATGTAGGTGCTGAAGTTACAATTCTAAGTTTCCATTTTAAATATGTACTAATTCATAATTTACATTATGTGGTAATTAACACATACCGGGTCTGGCTTTTCTTTTCGCTTCTTTAATTCGTTTCTTAGTTTTGTGAGACAGTTTATATTCACTGTCCATTCTATGAGCAAGTTTTAGTATAATTTATTAATTGGTTTGCTGTTCAAATAAGTACTATTTGAAGAATTTAAGCAGCGATTATCTTTAGATTGAGAGGGCTATGTACACAGAGTACAGAGAGAATAGATTAGAGATTATTTTTTTAAGGGATTTTATGACCTGGTAACTAAGGTCTTTAAGTCCTGTCTTATTTTGGTTTTTATTCTTATTTTTATGAAAAATGATAAAATGGAGTGAAATGCAACAAGTATGATTAATTTGAGACATTAATCAACTGGGATGAAATTAAATGACGAGATGATATGGGATGAAATATAATCTCAGTAAAATGGTGGTCATTTACTGAGATTTTTTTAGTGGACTTTTTGGAGGATCCCGAGAAGTTATGTCCAGCGGCTTTGTTTCATTTTCCCACATTTGTGCACTTTCACAGATATTAAACAGTTAATAAACCACCGTTATTACACATTTAAACCTAAAAAAACACTAAATAGACAAAATAAAACAAACCACACAACTTCACTCCTCGCATTCCCGCCAAAAAGTCCATAGATTAGAGATGATTATATATTGTCATAGATTATACACTTAATATTTGAGACACATGGTATGTGAATAATGTGCGTCACTGAATTTAGCTCCACTTTTTTTGATTTTCGGATTTTTTTATTTTTAATTATTTGTTCGTCGTTTGCTCGTTAATGTTCGAGTATAAAAATTGTTTGTTCGTCTTTTATTTATTTATAATTAATTAAACAAGTGAAATCATCCTTCAGTTGGCCTCCTTTACTAGATATCTTTATTTTTATCACTCAGATTAATTAACTTTAATCAATTATCGTTTGTTCGACAACTGTTAGTGTTATTTTTCGATCATAAAAAACAATTAAATACCCAATTATTAATTATTTTATATCTAATAAGCAAACCATCACCTCACCCCCACATTGCGCACAATGGCCGTATTTACTAGCGTTTTGTTAACAAGTGCGTTTATACTGTCTAATTATTTCTCATGTAGATCAAAAAAATATTGAAAACTTCAACAATACTTCAACAAAAAATGTAGACGTAAATAATAAACGTGATAAACGAAAACTCACCTGTCGTACTCTTTAAACTAGTTTGTTGAAGTCGCAGTGTTGAAATCCCTGTCGTTTTATTGATGTTCTTTCTATGATTTTTACACAAAAATGTCTACCTACAAGGTCCAGGAGTCAATGAGCGTCAAATATTAAAAATAAATTCATTTTGACATATGTTTGACGTTGGAGACAACGACAACAGCTGACAACAGGCTATATGTATATTTAATTTTTATAGATTATAGGTAGGTAGGTACGTACTATGAGATTTCGATTGGCTACTTACGAAAAAACGTATTCTCTGTGGTCGATTCCTAGTGAGCAAACTGCTGATTCTTTATACTTTTTAACCACCAAATTTAGTTTGAAATAAATTAAGTAATTTATGTTCCTTTTAAAAGTATTAGCATAAAACAATACCATTAAAATTTTAATATTAGTTTTTACCGTTGTCTTGAACAAAAGTAGTTTAATTGACACCGCAGTGAAACAAATTTCAAACGTTCCAGTCTGAAGTATGCAGCTAGCTTGATATAACTGTCAATCTGGGTGTAGGAATTTATTTTGTAATTTTCACCGGTTTTCATGTGTAACAATTTAACGTGTTGGAGCTAGTTTTGGACGCTATTTAATTACAAATAATGTTTAATAGTGTATGTGGTGCATAAACGTGTTCGATAATGGATGACGGCACAGTTAGAATTCGCTCCGGTATCAACATCAACATTAAAAGAACAGATGGTGAGTGATATACGTGGATTTCTAAGTCTTAACGGTTATTGTCTTGTTTTTTTGATACACTACTTCATAAAAGCGGACAATTGTATATTAAATTAGTATTTAGTTATTCATAATCTAGATCGTTTGAAGTATTGAAAGGGAAAGCGGAGCGTTGTATGATTGGCGAAGCCTAGATATATATGGTTAGTTTTGAAATATTTTGACCACTTTTATGACTTTCCGAATGCATTGTATCTCAGTATTTTTCAAAGTGCACTGCCTGCTTGGCTTCATGTGTTTATCATATCACTAATACCACCGCACACCTTGTAACATGAGGTTGGTGGGTCAAGACTCACCCGCCCTTTAAACTGTAAAGTTTCTAGAATAAGTCAGATGATGGCATTGACTCATGTAGGCACACTATATACTCTACAGGTCATTTTGCCAAAATTTCTAAGTAACCATTGAACACATTTTTATAATTCAGATTTATCAAACAATACAATTCATTATCAAGACCTAGAATAATATAATTTAAAAAATAATATAAAGCTAAATCAAAGAAAAGGATAACTTATTCATATAATAAAGTGTATGCACAGTATTAAAATATAAACTGTAGGTTACTACAATATGGATATTAAATTATTATTATTTAAATTGTAATGTGTGATATAGAATGTATAAAAGCAAGATGTCCTTGATAAAGCAAGTAACTAAAAAGCTTACGAACAACAAGATCATTAAATGCCAAAATAAAGAAATATATGTAAAACACCATAGTTTTTATTAAGAGAAAGTGTTTGAGCCTACACACAATTTGTACTATTGGAGAGTTCAGTACTGGTGGGAGGCCATATTATGATCACATATAGGTAAGCCATCATCCCAACAGTTTCTGCTGAGAAATAATCATTAGTTCTAGTTTGAGGATTAAGACAGCCATTGGGTTATAGTCACATGATGATGTAGGGTTCTAGTAACCACTTACCACTAGTGGTCTGTGAGAATATCCACCCAGCACATTATTAGATATGGTATTTTATTATCACTAGTATAGTCAATTGCTATGTTTCATTATGTTTTCAGATTTAGGTACAAATTAATAATAATACTCCATTAAGACAGACAAGTAATTCTCATACATTTAAGGTACTAGTGGCTGAATCCTGATGTTGTGCTGAAAGTACATTACACCAATATTTATGTATTACATATAATATTCTTTTCTAAATTTGTTAATCTCTAATTCGCCTTCTTAGTAGTAAACGATAAACATAAATATATGTGATATTTATCTCTAACCCCAATCAATGTAAGAAATTTTGTGATTCTTACCTGCAAAGTTCTGTACAATAAATTTTAAAAAATCCTTTCTTAGTAGATGCCTCCAACATAAAAGGCATTGACTGCTATAGTTACCAGTTTCTAGATTCAGCAGATTAAGTTCTGTGTTGCTGAATCATTCAGTTAAGGGTCACAATTACATATGCATAGATATAAAAATATAACTATAATTTTAAATTAATTGAAAATTAAAGATTAAGCAAACTCTACTTATTTCTTGGGTCTGTGTAAAATACAGCATATTGTATTGCAGCTGGTTAAAAACACAGAAAATTACCTATAAATAATATACATATTACATTAACTATTGCCATTATTATATTACACTCACTGAATTTAATATAAATTATGAATAAAATTTTAATAAAATAATCTTATAATCTTAAAATAATAAAAATAATCTTGAATAAAAAAAATATTTAAATAAAAGTTCAAATCACTTCAGTTCTTTTGAAGACATGTCTATGGTTCATCAGATTGCAAGCGATTGTTATTATCCATGCCTGACCAATGCAATACTTGAACTGGATCAAAGATTAGGCCTTCATTATCTTAGGGATTCTGTAGCTAGGAGGGGAATTATTTCTTTTGTTATTTAAATTTATTAATTGAAGATGAAATTGCTATCCACATAGTTATGAGTGGTCACTATCATTCACTTATATTGATAATGCCAGGAATGCAACCCAACTACTGTCTCGTGCCAAATATTTTTTTATAAAATCATTGAAAAAGGAGATGTCATAGGAGAAGACAGTTCAATTGAGAGTTGAAGGTACGTGATAAAACTATTTCATGAAATACACTAGGACACAGCATTTTCAGATAATAGGGGTCAACTTCACTCCAGTGTTGAATAGTGTGATTTACCCACTTTCTAAATGATGCCCTTAGGTATATTTTTAGAAAGGGTCAGGATAGTGAGGTTTAATTTAATTAAATAGCTTAAATAAATTCATACTGAAATCGAAATAATTGCACTGCCTTGAGTTGGACTTGATGGTGATTTTGGGTGGTATTGCAAATCTACCACATTGGGATGACCTGATTCATGAGAACAGGGGATTCAAGTCCGGGCGAAAAAGTGTAGCTTGTGATTCCCTGCTCAAAAGATGTAACAGCAATTAATTTGTTGAAGAAACTTGCTGGGAGACCATGGAGAGATGTATTTGGTCTTTTATATATATCCATGAATTGACAGTTGAAACGGCTGTATGAGTTGCATGACTGGCTGCATGCATATTGCGGAATTGTGTTCCTCTCAATTACAGAGGTTTCGTTCCGTGTTCAAATTCTGAATTCAAGGGAGGGAAATGGCTCCCAGTAAAGAGACCCATGAAGCTGCGCTTGATGTAATTTCGAGGGGTTTTCTTTTGTGTTTGTGGCTGATATGGGCTTTGGGTCGACAGCCTATTGGAATTGTGTAATTTTGAAAGAATCTTGATGCGTAAGTTTCATTCAAATTCCTGCATTTTCTTCTTTCACGATAAACTTATAAAAATAATAAATGGCCTATTACAAAAGGACTCATATGTATTTTTCTTATATGTCTTTTAAGAGCTTGAAATTGGACATTGTAAATATGTTATTTTAACCATCCATAAGTTACTCGATATCAAAATTTAAATAAGTTAACTATTAATTTTACAATTTAAATACAGTTAAAATATAAATTTTAAGTAAGTTTATTTCGGCTTTGTTAACGACCTTGCATCGTTCGTCAGTCGCTACCATATAAGGAACGCGGTTCGACCTCCGTGCGTACACCACGAATACGGCTCTGGTTCAGGCTCTTCAAGCGCATGACGCTGCGGTTCTGTATTTTTTAGATTTTACCATAATCTTTCGGGGTAATGTGCCTGTATGATGTTGTTATCAAATCGTTGTGAGGGGTAGGCATTACCTATTTATTCCTAAAAATACTGTCAATAATCCATTCACTTCCTTGTAAAAATATTTTATGTAATTTCTTAACAGGCTAGTTAGGATCAAGGCAACACAAGCATATCGCTCCACCCCCGCATTCCTATTACTTTACGCTCCGGAATCTATTAACTGCACCACATCACAGCAATGATCAAATATATATTGCAATACACATCAATTAATAAACAAGCTATGTATGCTTGATCTTTGCTGGTAGGAAATCAATTCCGACCACCGACCTGTCATGCAGCTCGGTCGTCCTTACATCCCAGACCCAGTCTCGAGGACCATGTTGAATTGGCAGAGACTGAGCACCAGCTTAGCAGAAGTCTTCCCACCAATCTTCCTTAACTGCCGGATTCACCCCCTTCCTCTTAGGTCACCGTCGAATCTATAGACATCCTGACAAATCACTTGCCCACCGCGATAGACAATGCGTCTCACCAAATTTATTTATTTGTTATTTTATTGCTTAGATGGGTGGACGAGCTCAAGCCCACCTGGTGTTAAGTGGTTACTGGAGCCTATAGACATCTACAACATAAAATGCGCCACCCAACTTGAGATATAGGTTCTAAGGTCTCAGTATAGTTACAACGGCTGCCCCACCCTTCAAACTGAAACGCATTACTGCTTCACGGCAGAAATAGGCGGGGTGGTGGTGCGGACTCATAAGAGGTCCTACCACCAGTAAGAATGTGGAAGACTTCTTCCACCGCATCAGATTGCCCTCCGAGCTCAGGAATCTGCTAAAATTTAGGAACGCCTTGATCCGGGATTACGCGCGTTATCCCACCGAATCAAACTGGATTCGGATGGGTCGTCTACAGCGGGATGTCAAATCTCGCCCAGACGAATCCCGAAATACAAGGCGCGAAAGTTATTTAGAAGGACTCGCGACCTCACCAAGCCCACCGGCGACTGCCCAGGACCCTCAAATCGGAAACTATTGCTACTATGCCTCCCCTCGTACATCCCCAGGCCAAATCAGTCGTCGTGGCCTAAAGGATAAGACATCCGGTGCATTCGTATCGAGTGATGCAACGGTGTTCGAATCCCGCAGGCGGGTACCAATTTTTCTAATGAAATACGTACTTAACAAGTGTTCACGATTGACTTCCACGGTGAAGGAATAACATCGTGTAATAAAAATCAAACCCGCAAAATTATAATTTGCGTAATTACTGGTGGTAGGACCTCTTGTGAGTCCGCACGGGTAGGTACCACCACCCCGCCTATTTCTGNAACGGTGTTCGAATCCCGCAGGCGGGTACCAATTTTTCTAATGAAATACGTACTTAACAAGTGTTCACGATTGACTTCCACGGTGAAGGAATAACATCGTGTAATAAAAATCAAACCCGCAAAATTATAATTTGCGTAATTACTGGTGGTAGGACCTCTTGTGAGTCCGCACGGGTAGGTACCACCACCCCGCCTATTTCTGCCGTGAAGCAGTAATGCGTTTCGGTTTGAAGGGTGGGGTAGCCGTTGTAACTATACTGAGACCTAAGAACTTATATCTCAAGGTGGGTGGCGCATTTACGTTGTAGATGTCTATGGGCTCCAGTAACCGCTTAACACCAGGTGGGCTGTGAGCTCGTCTACCCATCTAAGCAATAAAAAAAATTCCGACTTGTGCACCATCAGTGTCTCAAGTTGAGCCCGTGAGCTCACCTACCGGTCCACGAGAAGTTGGAACAGCTACCAACGATTAGATAAGGAAAAAAATGTAGGAAATATGT